AGGGTTCTGAGAGCCTTGGAAGTGATATTCGTGATCACCGCGAAATTCTCTATCGAATGGTGTATGAAGTGTCGAAAAATAAATTTCACTGCAAGGCTGCCCTGGGTGCATCTTATATATATCTATATATATAACTCCTTAATTTTAATTTATCTGTCTGAAGAAGTTGTCGTCGACAACGAAACGTCATATTGGAAATTTTAAATAATTTAATTAAATTTGTGGAAGAGTATTAAAGAAAAATGTCAAATTTATGTTTTATACGAGCGGAGATATTTAAATTTTAAAATGAAGAATATTTTAGGAAAAATTTAATTTTTTAGTTTAAATTTTTTAGTTACTTTAGTAAAGCTTTTTATTGAACAGCTTTTCAAAAATATGTAGGGAGGTTTGTTCTTTCAAATTATGTCAGCTGAAGAAACTATTGTTTAAACTGTTAGGCTGCTGATGGTAGAAAACGAAAGGTCATATTTTGCTGGAATTTTGGGCTCGTTTTCTTAGTCATTCTTGATTTTCTCGAAGTCATATCGAGATCTCGTATGTTCCATTTTCATAGGCGGTTGACCGAAAACCAAGCACTAAAGCCTTGGAGACTTACAGGATTAATGTTGAGAAGTCTCTCAAAATGCAAGAACAGTTCCATTGGTAATTCTGTTTTTATAGATAAAATCATGGCGAAAGTATCCAAACAAAAACTGATGAGATATGATAAACGATGTAGAGAAAAAATGAAACTCAAACGTGTTCAATCAAAAATATTTGATAAAAAGTTTAAGAAGAAACAAGCATTAGCTAAAGCCACTTGGCATAAAAAGCAAAAAGAATTAGAAAAAGCATCAATTAGTTCACTATCATCATCAATACCTATTGATTTACGTACAACAGAAGGAAAGAAGACGTCGTCAAAATACATTAAAATTAAAAGAAGAAAATAAACAATTACGTAAAACTGTTCGTACATTAGAACAACAAAACCAACGTCTACGATCATTATCAATATCGTCAAGTTCATCAACAAAGAGTTCACCATCACCAAACACTAAAGAAAATAAACGAAAAAGGAAAAAAAATAATAATGAACCAATTTCACCATCAAAATTACTCCGACTAAAATTACTACTACTCTCTATTTTTAAACTAAAATTTGAACGGAAAAAATTCTAAAAAGACTTTTCTGTCTCCTAAACTGAAATTTTTTACTGATTTTAGCAAGTACGAAAAAAATTTGGTATAAATCTTTCAAATCAATATGCACCAAGTTCAACCGCAACAATGACAGCACTTATTTATCAAAGAATTGAAGAATTTTTCAAACAAGATACAGTATCTCGTATATCTCCTGATAAATCAAAACATGTATCGTACAAAACAGCGAACAGATTGCATTTACGTAACTTTGGTCGTACACTGGATTTCGCTAGGGAGATCGATTTAACTGATTATATTAGTGATGATTGTGTTTTATTGCGTTTTCTGAAAGGCTACGAAGAAGTAGAAGATTTGAATGGTTCGATTTTATTAACGTGTTTGGT